TGACATTCACCCTACTGGAGTTTAAGCCTCTAGGTCTGGGACTCAAACTGTGGTTGACAACATGGGAGTCCAGTGACACAGCTATTAACGCCATCTGCTGGTCCCAAGTTTAGTCTGTTTTAAACCTATGAGCCCATGTTAGGCTTGAATGGGTTATAAAAGTAGAGCCAGGGCCAACATAGGCCTGCTTGAGACCGTTAGTTACTGGTCTGCAGCGACTGCTTCTTGAAATCCTTTTTTCCTTCCTGTTTTTAAAAAAGAACAAAACAAAAACAAATAAAAGAAAAAAAAAAAGAAAGCTTATTTCCTTCGGAAGTAAGAGAGACAGAGACAGCACCCCCAACAGGAAAAAAAAGAAAGCTTATTACCTTCAGGAGTAAGAGAGACAGAGACAGCACCCCCAACAGGCTCTTGATGCTGCGCTCGACCTCCAGCCTTAGCCAGCCCCAGGTGGGGCCACACATCCAGGCGTACTCAGGAGGTCTCTGGATGAGAACCCAGGACCTTCTCACGTGGTCAGCCTCACAGAGCGTCATGGGTTAGTGCTGTGCCGCTGCCTGGCCCCCTCATTCATATCGTCAAGCCAGACTTGCTGCTGTATTCCCTCCGGTGCTATCTGTGTGGCTCAGGGGTTTCGAGGGCTCTGATTCTCCAATCAAAAGTGACCTCAGTTCACTGATGGAGGGGACAGGCCACAGTGAGGAAAAAGGGGGACTGGTTACCTGGTGGCCGCGGCCCAGTGATCTGAGACCCCTGGTGCCTCTGGATCTGGTAGCTGGAAAGCTGCTGTGCCAGTCAGGCCCAGCCTGGGTGAGCTGCTCCTCACCCCCTCCTTTCCTGACCCTCAGAGGGCCCCGCTGCACCCAGGTCATCCCTGTGCAAGGCCGAGTCACCTCCCTGAGCCTCAGCCATGACCAGATGCATCTGCTCAGCTGTTCCCGTGATGACACCCTCAAGGTCATCGACCTGCGCGTCAGCAACATCCGCCAGGTGTTCAGGTACTAGGCTCGCACTCGCCAGCCCGTGGCCTTCGCTGAAGCCAGGTCTCCTGCAGAAAGCTCTACAGGAGTGTTCCCTGGAGCCCCTCTCAGCCAGGACCTAAGAAGGTGCCCAGCCCCTTGCTTGGCACAGAGGGAGCTCTTGAAGCTTCTGCTGAGGCAGGAACTGGGGCTACCTCCATTCTGACCCCAGCTCGCACTTGCCAGCCCGTGGCCTTCGCTGAAGCTGGGTCCTGCAGAAAGCTCTACAGGAGTGTTCCCTGGAGCCCCTCTCAGCCAGGACCTAAGAAGGTGCCCAGCCCCTTGCTTGGCACAGAGGGAGCTCTTGAAGCTTCTGCTGAGGCAGGAACTGGGGCTACCTCCATTCTGACCCCAATCCCATCTATCCTTAGGGCTGATGGCTTTAGGTGCGGCTCTGACTGGACCAAAGCTGTGTTCAGGTACGTCCATCTGCCTGTGCTGAGCACGTGCGTCCCATCCAACCCTGGCGTGGGTGTGTGCTCACCTCTGAGCCCCTCTCCTCTGCATGGCTGCTGCAGCCCGGACAGAAGCTATGCGCTGGCGGGGTCCTGGGACGGAACCCTGTACATCTGGGACGTGGACACTGGAAAGCTGGAGAGCAGCCTCCGGGGACCCCACTGGTGAGCCTGGCCTCCCCACCTCCATCTGCCACAGCCCCAGGCCTGCCAAGCCGATTCTAGGTCCTGATGTGCTCGGGACCCTGCAGTCCAGCCCCTCATCCCCACCCTACCAGAGCCTTGCATAGCTCACAAGGCACTTGGGTCGATGGCCCCCCACCTCATGAGCCCATTTCATAGATGAGGTGGGCTCAGAGCCACAGGCAGGCTCAGCTCCTGGCTCCCCATGAAGCCCGGTCTCCCCCTCTCCACAGCGCTGCTGTCAACGCCGTGGCCTGGTGCCACGCTGGGAGTCACGTGGTGAGCGTGGACCAGGCCCGGAAGATTGTCCTCTGGTACTAGGGCCCCAGCTGGCCAGCCCTGTCTGGGCCACAGCCCTGGGCCGAAGCCTGGAGTACAGAGCTGGTTCCCTCTGCTTTGTAGGGCTCCAGAGCCAGTGGTAGCACAGGAGCAGGCGGGGTGGCCTGGGATTCAGGGGGGAAGAAGGCTGGGCAGGACCTGGCCTGTTTGCTTAAAAACCAAGTGTGGGTTGGGGAAATTATAGTATTTTTGTCTCTCTCTTTTCTTAAAACCTCTGAGTGTTTGCTTTCTTTCCTGAAGTGGAAAATACCTCGCCTTTTTGTAGCACTCAGGTCACCAGGACCTCTGGGGTGGGGGCTTGGCGAGATCCAGGCCTGGCCTCTATCTCTGCCTGCAGAGCCGGGAAGAGCCAGCCCAGCCTCTGCCTGGGGGCAGCACTGTCCCAGCGGACACAGCATGCGGGAAGGCCCTGACAGCAGCGAGCAAGGGCTCTTGGAGCCTTGGGAAGGTGGCCCTGAGTCCAGCTGGGTCCTGAGGCAAAGACAGCACATCGGGCTTTCCCGTTCCAGGCACCATGGGTAGGCTGAGGCTGAAGAGGGAGCAGGGAAGCAGCCCAGGGTCCCTGGTGAGAAGGTCCTAGAAACCAGCGTGACCTGGGAGTCCTTGGCACACCAGGCCCACCCATGGGCTGGGGCCAGGTTATTCCCACAGGAGCAGAGCCAAGGGATAAGGGCAAGTCTGTGTGGTACCTGGGAGAGGCCTGAGGCTCCATTTACATGGGCATCAAATCAAACTGCACAACCCACCTCTGGGAGGAGGTGAGCCCGGTACCCGCGTCCGTCACCAGCCTGGGGCTGGGGCTGGGCAGACCTGGGGACAGACAAGCGTGGGAAGATGGCAAAACCTGCACTGCAGACCCCAGAGTACACCCGGTGCTTGGCCCAGCTGTCCCTGGGCTCTAGGTGCATATCCAGCCGTCCCTGGCCGCTCTGTCCCCTGTATATGACCTCTTCACACCACACGTGTCAGATTCGACCTGGTGTTGCTGCGGCTCACACCTCCTCCCCACTGCTGCCACTGCACTGCCCTTCAGGTTTGCCCTGCCATGGCCAGAGTGGCTCCAGGGCTGTGTCCTGGTCACATGTCCAACCCTCTGAAGCCTTCTGCCTCCCGAGCTCCTCGGAGGACACTCGGAGCCCTTCAGATGTGCGGACCCCACAGCCCGCTCAGCTGCTTCATTCTCTGCCCTTCTGTGTGTGCGGTGTGCTCCTCTCTCTGCCCAGAAGATTCTCTCCTTCCCAGCCCCTCGTATGGCACCGCCCCCCACAGCCCTCCCCTAGCTGCCAGGCTGGGCAGAGGCCTGCCCTTTGTGTCCGATTCCCACCATTTTAAGCTGGAAGCTCCCAGAGGAGGCCAGGAGGACGGACTAGCCCCTGGGACCAAGCCTGCCCAGAGACCTCGGGAAATGTGAATGAAGTGGTTCAATACCCTTAGGCAAGGACTCAGCAAGCTGACAGCCCAGGATTCTGGGATCCAGCACCCTCCTCCCTCCTCTACCTGCCCTGCCTTCATGCCCTGGCTACCAGTGGCCACCAGGGGTCACCAGCTGCCCGGTCTCTGCAGAGGCTGTTCTCCAGCCCCCAAGGGTTTGCGGCTAAGTCCAGCATTTCCATTAGTGCTTCCCTCTCCCCACCCCTGCGTCTTGTTGAGACCTTGGGGTGAGCCAGGCCCTGCTTGCTGGACACTCTTCACGCAGGTCTCATGGGCTCCTAACGAGCTTGTGTGCTCTGTCTCACCGAAACTGAGGCTCAGAGAGGTGAAGTGTTTTAAGGTCACGTGTGCTCTGTCTCACTGAAACAGGCTCAGAGAGGTGAAGTGTTTTAAGGTCACGCAGCACTCTGTTTTTTAAGTGTTTTATTCATGATAGAGTGTGTGCACGCACAGGGGGCACCATGGCAAGGGCACCCTTGACAGAGCCTCCTGAGGCAGCATCCCCCTCCCTGGTCCTCCAACTCATCAGGCTCTTGGGCTCACACCCACCTGGGGACCCAGACTGGGTGGCCAAGCGGACTCTGGCACCGCGGTCCTGTTAGTGCGCCACTAGGTGGGGCCTCTCAGAGTCGGATTCAGGTCCTTGTTGGGCAGGGCTGCAGGGCGTGCTCCCCACACCATGCCCCATGCTATGCCCCTTGCCTGCCGCTGTGGGGTGTGGCTGGGGCTGTTGTTGCCAGTCTCCCTTCTTGCATCTCTCTCCATTCTGTCCTGAGCCTGGAGTTAGTGTCCCTTGAAATGAGCATGTGCAGGGAGGAGGACTGATGGGCTGGGTCCCAGGAGCCTCTGCCAGCTACACCACCTGGGTGAGTGTCCACTGAGCACCCACAGGGTACAGTGAGTACTGTGCCCAGATAACCGGAAGCAGCATGCCGGGAGTAGTGAGAAGCAGCCCCCCGACAGGACCACTGCTCCCCTGCTGCCCTCCTTCCTGCCTCTGGGCGCTTGCTCGTGGCCACACGGCAGAGCCGGGCGGGAACCCAGGCCCCTGGTTACCTCTTTTCCAAAAACGACAACGGCCTAGATCCTGCAGAATGGACATGGCCTGGTCTTCTGGAGGCCCAGTTCTAGGTTCTGCTCTTGGTCCTGTCTTCCTGAGAGGTCTTGGGCAAGTCACGGACTGCCAGCTCTCACACAGCCCCCAGGGAGGCCTCCCAGAGGTGATCCGTTCTGCCCCAGGGTGCCTCTCTGGCCCGTTCTGACCGAGAGCCTGGGAGACATGGCAGAGGCCCTTGTTCGGGGAGATGGACTTGGCTTGCGTCCACAGTGTCCCTGTGTCTCTCCTGCTTGCTGTCAGCCCTTGGTAACAGCAACGGTGATGGACAGGGCTCCAGTGCTTGAACACGGCTGGGGCAGTAGGTTTGCTGAATGGATGAAGAGCAAGCGAGGAGTTGGCTCTGGAGAAATCCTGACACCACTAGGTGTGGAAATCACCCCCCCCACACACACACACGATTTGGATTTGGACGTGCCATTCTCGGTATGGGCCGTTGGCTTTCTTGGACATTCAGAAGTGTATCTGGACGTTAGCTTCCTTGATCATCCTGGATCCTAGGAAGTTTGAACCATCTACTTCCAGTTCACCACTTTCTCACTTGAGGACAGCCAGGCCCAGAAAGGTCAGGATGAGCCCAAGGTCACAGCTAACCTGGAATGGTCAGGGCTGGAGCACGGTCTTCTCCCCAGCTCTCGCCTGGCCTTCCCAGAGCAAGGGCTGTGAGCGTGTTGGCCACGCAGTGTGAGTGAGTGCGACCCGACTCACTGGTTCATGTTTCAGGATAGAACATTCCAGAAAAGCAGAGCCCTCCACAGCAGACATGGCAGACGTACTCTCTTGGCAGACCGGGCAGGGACAGCAAACTCAAGGAGCTCTGGGGGACTTAGCTGGTGGGGTCAAGTTACAGGATTTCAGGTGAGATGACAGTTCTCCTCCTAACCTAACCTTTGTAATCTGGTTCTATTTCTGTCACAAAAACAACTTCATGAGAAAGAACTGCAATGACTGAGGGCAGCAATTCAGTGTTTGGGCCATTGGGGGCTGAGCAGTGTCAGCCCTGACCCAGACGCCGTGGTTGGCTCCTTGGGCCGGTGATGGTGTAGCTGGACGGGCTCACATCCTGGAGGATGAGGGCTTGGCTGTCACAGTGCCCATGGAGGTCAGTGGCTTAAATTTCAATGTCTTGCCATTCTAACAAGTGTCAGTTTTATCTCAAACATGGCAACTTTTCTGTGTGATGTTCACTGTGCATCTAGAGGCCTGATAAGCCTCAGAAACACTCATTCCATCCTTGACATTGGGACGTGGCAGTTCGCGGGAAGGGCTGTCCCTCCAGCCGCCGCAGGGCTAAGGCTGGATGTCATCCTCCCACTTGCATCTGTCCTGCCATGGATGTGGGCTGGGGTAGGGAGGTCAGAAGGGGCTCCCACACCCCAGCAGGCGATGTGCTGTGAACCCATGTCTTGACTCTGTCAGGCCAGTCTGGTGATGAAGGAGGCCAAAACTGAGCTGTGACACGGTTGGGACAATTAGCTGAACTCTGCTTATGGTCACAGACCTAGCCCCCAGTGCCAACGGCAGTCTTACATGTAAGCAGCTCCCAGTGGCAGGGAAGGCAGACGATGGAGGTGACGTTTCGTGTCCTGACAGCTCTTCCACCTCTGTGGGAAGGCACATCACAGTCCTCCCGGTGACCTCACAGCTCTGCGTGTGACCGCGAGGCTGGAAGACCAAGGACTGCACAGTATCGAGGGGGGCCCTGAAGGCTAGAGCACGGTGATGAGGGGGGTCTGCACCACGCACTGCGAGGGTCCTTTCTGCATCCACGCTCTTACACTGGGTTCCAGAAGAGGGCACCAGGGCTTGGTGGAGGTTTAGGAAAGGAGGGAGGGGTCCAGAATGCTCACTTCCTAAAAGCCGGCAGTCACATACTCCAAAGGGACTTTGGTCACCATCCTTTGGCCCCTTCAGTAGCAGAGTCAGAGCTCTGTGTTCAGCCCAGCTCAGCACAGTCCTCATGGATGGACCATCTTTTCCCCCAACCGGGAAAGAACCTTGAAAGCCAAGACTAGGGCTTGCTTATTTCCGTGTCTAGTCCCCAGGATACTGTGCCTTCATGTGGGTGGCCCCAGGGACCATCTGTCCCACAGATAGGCTGATTTACTAGTGGTTTCAAGGAGGGCTCCAGACTGTTTAGGAAGCTTGGAAGTCTGCTTACCAGTCTTTTTGTAAGGAAACTAAGAAGTAATTCCCTTTTTTTGTTTGTTTTTTATTATTCAACATTTTATACATAATAAATACAAACTTTGTACAGCCACTGTAAAGAAAGCACACGTGCACAGAGGCTCGCTCTGAGCCCTGCCCTGTGCACTGCGACGCTGGGTTACACGTCCTGGAGGGAGGGCTTCTTTTTTAAAAAGGAGGCATATTTTTACAACTCTGTTTTCTAAAATAAAATTAGCAGCTCTTCCAAAAAATAGTTTAAAATATAACAAAAGATTTCAAATAACCCTCTGAGGTGGTGGAAAACCCAAATTCAAGGACAATTTGGCTAACGAGAATGTAAGACTGGGCGGCAAGAACTGCTCTATTCAACAAGCACTTTGAAGATTTTTAACATGTCGGCAAACTTTAGAATGTTACAAAAAAACCCCACCCTTTTCATTTCTTTTTTAAACTTAATAATAAGTTTGATAAACACAAAAAAGACCTCAAATAGATCAACAGGTTAAGAATGCAAAAACAAAAACAAAACAAAAACAAAAATACCAAAATCACAGAGCAGATTTGTCGGTGGGTGTTGTCACTTCAGTGAGCAAAGGACTAACTGACAATTCCTTCAGCTATGACCTTACTTTTGGTCAGAAATCCCATGGGGACATTTGGCAAACTTTTCAAGTTTCTAAAGATTCTTAGGAGGGAAGGAGTTTTCAAAGCATAATAAAACTTTTGGATTAAATTCTGCAAATTCGATTTCTTAGCAAAAGTACAAAAGCAACCAGCAAACCACTCTCGGTCCCTGGGGAGTGTGCTCCTCACCTCCCACAGGGGCACCCACAGCTGTGGAGAGCACCCCGGGCTCGCCTGGGGCTTCAGGGACACTGTCTTTTCTTCATCCATCTGCCCCATGGTCTTCCAGCCACTCTTAGGAAGCTCACTTCCTCCATGGGCCCACAGGCTCTTCCTCTCAAGGACATGGCAAGGCAGTGGGACCTGGAAGCTGCATTTTCCACGGGTGGAGGCTGACCTGGACCAGCCACAACCAGGCTGACAGGGCCAGCACACTGGCACAGGAATAAGGAATGGGAGCGGCCTCCCTGCAGAGAAGCTCTACAATGCAGGCCGGTGTCCTCAATTATCTCGATGTTCAGAGTCTAAGGATACTGGTCAGAAGAGTATATGCTGTGAAAATTAAGACGAAAACATACCCAAATACAAAAGGAACAGTAAACCGGCTCATTTCAGATCTGGAAGTTCCATCTCTGCTTTGGCCGTGGCCTCCTTTCTGTTAGTCTATGGGATGGACGAGATGTGGCTATGAGTTCAGCCCCTCCACATTAGCTCCACTAATACTAAACGAATGGCGTAAATATTAATACAAAGGACACTGTTATCATTTGAACTGTTAGTTGTAGAAGAGATGTGCGTTAATGCAACTGGTGCTAAACTCAGGGCGGTCCGCCTTTTGCCCAATGAGGTTTCACTTTCTCAGTCCGGGGACTATCACGGGGAGGAGCCAGCCTCTCCTGAAGTCCCTCCTTCTGTCTCCTCATGTAGCCAACACGATCTGATTAATACTTCATCAGATAAGCAGAAGCCACTTGGAGAAAGATGAGTCTGCCACATCCTCGTGGCCACAGTAATATACTGTACGAGTGCACGTGATCGGCACTTCTACGACTGCGCCCTGGAACGAGGCCTGGTCTTGAGTCTTATATAAAAACGGACCGCTGTGAGGCACGAGGGCTGCCCCGTCTTTGCTTCTAGGGCCCGTTAGGATTTGTGCTATGGTAGGAGAGATGACATAGAAAATGACAACAAAAAAAGGCACAAAATAGTCAAAACGTGGGAGGAGTCCACCAGGCTACCCAGTCACATACAATCCTCCTTGTTTTTGCTCTGTTCGAGTCATCATGCAAAGGTGCCTAAAAAACAAAACCGGCCAGGCCCCTCAAGCCTGGCCTGGATGGTAGCAGGAACGCGTGGGCAAAGCCATCATCACACTAGAGTGATTTCCACATCCTCCATCTTCTCGGCTGGCCTTCGGTGGTTCTGCGTGGGTGGAGGGGGTGCTGCCCGGACCTGTGCACAAAACAGTGACACGGACTGTCAATCATCCTCAGCGCCTGAAGCACCCCCTAACCCCTTGCTCATCTGTCCAAAGACATGGGCACCTAGGGATCTCAGAAGTGCCCCGGACATGCACTTTCCAGAGGTCTGCACCATTTCCCACTCTGGGAAGTAGCTGTTCTGGATGAAATGTCAAAGCTATGAGTTGGGTTCCTGTCGAATAGAAGCCTCCTAGGCACAAGAGCCACGACAGCCCTGGACTCCTTCTCTGGAGCGAAGGCCTGGACTTGGAAGCAAGAGAGCACAATGCTTAGAGGACAGAAAATGTTTGTGCATCTCCTGGGGAACAGGTACAAGGACTGAGGCTACAGAGGCAGGCTGGGCTCAAGCTGTGAAGGGGCTTGCCAAGCCTTGCCAAGAAACCGGTGCCTTATTCTGCAGGCAAGAAGAGGCCTTCGGTGGATTTTAGGTAGTAGTGACCTGTGAAAGGTGACTCAGAAACAGACTGAAGTGGGGGCAAAAGCACGAGGAAGATGACGTAGGAGACCTTTGTGGTCATCTGAGGGAGAGCTGGTGTGAGCCAAGGGTGCCAGGTTGGCAGGGAGCTGGCAGTGGGGGAAACGGAACTGGAAAGGCTTGAGAGCTGTCTCCAGTTTGGTGGTAACTGTTTGTGGGAGGGCTGGGAAGGTATCAGTACGGATGACAGAGCAAGACGGGCGTTCCATTCACCACGACAGGCCATATGGGGAAAGGGACACCCTGGGAGGGAAGGTAACCCTTGTTGCTGAGTCCTGGGGTCTGGGGCACGTAAGCTGAGCTGTCTGCCGGTACAGAGCTCAGGTCAGAGATCAGATCGGCAGTTATAGACCCAGAGCTACAGGTCTAAAAATGGCTATCACAGATACGTGTGGGTGAGATCCCTTGGGAAGAGTCCAGGAGAAGCAGCCCAGAGAAGTGCTGGCGGAGATGGAGCGAGGCAGAGAAGCCTGCAGAAGACCATGAAAAGGAGTGGCAGAGGTGTGGACGGCAACCCAGGAAAATGTGGTGGAGCAAGCCGACCAGTCTGCTTCTCTACCCACCAGTCCCCGCTGCCGGCACCTCTTGCTGGACCACCACTCTGGCCTCCTGACAGCTCTCTACGCCCACTCTGCTACCTTGTCCATTCTCCACTAACTGCCATGGCAGTGTTCTGAAGATGCAAAACCTGTCACAACACTGTCCTGGTTACCACCAACCTGGCTTCCTATCACATGTGGGATAAAGACCCAAGTCCTTAATAAGGCATTTACTACACACCTACTGAGTGGCTCAAGGAATGGTGTATAATGCTGATAAGGAGTCAATGAAAATAAAACTGCTAAGCATCCACTGGACTACCCATGCCAAAGTTCTGGCCTTGGAGTTGGGGGGTGGTTAGGGGTGGGCAGGTGGAGTCGCCATGGCAGGAGAGTGAAGGACAGGAGAGGGAATTACTTGTAAGACTTGTATTCCCCTGAGAACACAAGCCCCTTGAGGCTATGAAGTGTATCTTTTTAATTCATCTCACTGTTCCTCAAAAAGGCAAATACAGATCTGGAAAATAGGCTCTCAATAAATGCTTGCTAGCAAAAACGCTTCTTTTTTTCAATAATTAGGGCAGTTTCATACTCAAAGAGCTTGTTATGATTTAAACACTTTTTTTTAAAAAAAGAATTATTTTATTGGGACCAGAAGTTAGCGTAATGGCTATGTCGCTGGACTCCCACGTAGTCGACCGTGATTCGAGTCCTGGACCCGGTGGCTTAAACTCACACTGGGCGCGTGTGGATGCGTGCCCAAGATCCCGAGAGGAGAATGGAGGAGAAGGGATTGCGGCGTGGCCACCCCCCCGGGGGGTGATTTCCTGCTTTCTGTCTCTCTGTCTCTGTCTGTCTGTCTGGTGAGCGCACGCACCCTATAGCAAAAAACCTCTCAAAAAAAATTTGTAAAAAATAAAATTATAAAAAAAAAAGAATTATTTTATTGAAACATATATATATAAAACAAATATATAAATACACACACACACACACACACACACACATATATATATATTTATTTAGAGAGCCCGATCAACTGACCAGAGAGGAACAGAGTTAGGAAGAGAGAGAGAGAGAGAGAGAGAGAGAAGAAAGGTAAACCACCAGGTCTGGGACTCAAACCATGATGGGCCATGTGGAATCCAGAGCCCTTAACCACCAAGCCACTTGTTGGCCCCTTGACATACTTTTAAAGTTAGCATCTTGAAATCTCACCATAGTTCACAGAGGAGCTCTCCAGGGTAGACTAGGAGTAGCTAAATAAGCTAGTTTTTAAAACGTATTTATTATTATTTAAAAAATTTGCTATAGGACACATGTACTCACGAGAGAGAGTGAGAGAAAGTGAGAAAGCAAGCCAGTTGCTAGGTCAGGGACTCAAAATACGGTTAGCAATGTGGGAGTCCAGTGCCTTAACCACCATACCACCTGGTGGCCCAACAAGGTAATTTTTAAAGCCTCCTTTTCTTTTTTTTTTTTTTTCCCCCAAAGAAAGATTTTTGCTATAGGGCATGTATACTTGCTGGAGAGAGACAGAAAGTAAGAAATCACCCCCCAGGGGAGATAGCCATCCTGCAATTCCTTCTCCTCCATTCTCCTCTTGGGATTTTAGGCATGCATGCATTTGCACCCAGTGTGAATTTTAAGCTGCTAAATCAGGACTTGAACCATGGTCAACTGCGTGAGAGTCTGGTCATGTAACCATTATGTCATCTGCTGGTCCCAAGCCTTCCTTTTTAATAACTCTTCTTATCTTCCCAACCCCATTTCCCAATCCATCACAGCACAGGATAACTCCGTATTCTATAGCCGTGCTGGATAGGAGACTTACAGGTCGCAGTTTGCCATATGAGGTCTCAGGTGTATGCCGTGATGGCTGGGAGAATCCTGGTGATTCGCCGTGGAGGCTGTTTTCTAGTAGAAAGAACCAAAGAAGCTTATTTGTGTTACTGAACAATAAAAATGAAGATGCAGATCTGATCGCCTTTCAGACGAATGAATGTGGATTCCTGAAGTGAAAGTGATTTGGACTTGTGTCCCGGAGAACCCTTACCGTTGGCTGACGGAGACCGAGGAAAGTACTGGGAGCTCCTCTTGTCGGGGCTGGGGTATGGACTGCTGGGAGGCTGGTCGTAGAGCGGCAGTGGAGGCAGGGAGGTGTGTGGCTTCGGGGAAGGTGAGACCTGCAGCAAAGGGAAGATTACCAGGGGTCCCCTCCTCAGCAGCCGTGCCTGGCACTTCTCTGACTGCTCTGTGCACGTTCTTTTCCTGTGCAGCTGGATACAGCTACTAAAACTCAGCTCATTAGAAGCAAAGGAGCCTAAAATAACCACCCCAAACCTCAGTTTTGTGTTTGTACTTAACGTTTTCCTCTATCAGATCTCATTATACTATTGATTTAAGTTTTATTTTTTTTTTAAAAAAACAATTGTTTTATTTAACTTTATTTACTTATTTATTTATTTTAATTTGACCAGAGAGGAACAGAGTGAGAGAAAGAGAAGAAAAGTGAGAAAGCAAGTTGCCAGGTCCGGGACTCGAACTGTGGTCCGCCATGTGGGAGTCTAGGTGAGGTAGTCAACCACTACACCACCTGCCAGCCCCCTGGTTTGAGCTTATCTTAAATAATTATCAAGCCAAACTATTCTCTAGGGTTCTACTAAAACATAACAAATTAGTTGACTCAATAAACTCAGAGAAAATAAAAAAAAGGGACAACTTGGATTATTTTGTGTGAAGATAAAAGAACTGGCTGAGTTTCTGCTTCTCAGGTTCTGTCTGTGTCAAATTAAGTGGTTATAATCACCAGGCAGGCAAGATGGACAAAATGGGCTGAATTCCTCTCCCTGCCAGGCCTGCTGTGACCGGTCCCCAGAGGACAAACCAAACTATGACCAAAGGCAAGTTCCCCACGATGAGCTGAGCCTAGGGCTACGTGAGTGTGGAGTGGGGCCCTGGCTCCTTAACTCTGACCAGGATGGACAGGATGTGGGCTCGGCAGGGAGGCTGACGTGGGGAAGAGGAGGTGCCCACTCACGGTTCTCCTGCATGAACCGGCCACGGAGGCGCTATGTCCTTCTCTGGTTTGTTTTCTTCTTTCCACCAAGCCAGCCTTTGGCATGTAGTGTGCAATTTACCACTTTGGTTACCTGATTCAGAGCCCAGAATACGGGAGAAATAAAGCCATAGTCCGCAAGGGCCTGACTGACCAATTTGGGTCTGCAGACTCCAGGCGCCAAGGACTGGGGTGGTCAGGGTAGGGGCAGAAACGATAATCTACTTTTTCTAGATGTGTAGACCCCTCGGGGGTAATTTTCTTTAAACATTTTTTTAAGTGTTTTTTCTTTTCTTTTTCTTTCTCTCTCTCTTTCTTTCTTCCATAGTGCTCTCTAGAGAAAGGGAAAGA